CTTTTCCTCTAAAGTTCTTTTTTTTTTTTTTTTTTTTTTTTTTTTTTGTTTGTTTGAGACGGAGTTTCGCTCTTGTTACCCAGGCTGGAGTGCAATGGCACGATCTCGGCTCACCGCAACCTCCGCCTCCTGTGTTCAGGCAATTCTCCTGTCTCAGCCTCCTGAGTAGCTCGGATTACAGGCATGCGCCACCATGCCCAGCTAATTTTTTGTATTTTTAGTAGAGACGGGGTTTCACCATGTTGACCAGGATGGTCTCGATCTCTTGACCTCGTGACCCACCCGCCTCGGCCTCCCAAAGTGCTGGGATTACAGGCTTGAGCCACCGCGCCCGGCCTCGGCCTGAGCACTTTCTATGCACCAGGTGAGATTCTGTGTGACGTCCATGGATGAACCCCTTTGATCCCCACCACCATCATGAGATAGAGACTACCACTACCCTCGATTTACAGATGCAGAAACTGAGGCAAGAGGGGTTAAATGGAAGGGGCATTTAAGCCCAGGAGGGCCGGCTTCGGAGCCCACACTCTTACCCACGGCCCCTTCACTTCATCAGGACATGGACCCCACTGAGGGCAGGCGAGAGCTCAGGGCACCACCCACGTGGGGGCAGCAGAAAAGAAGGGAAATGCTCGGATTTCATTATTGTATTCAGGATTTTGCAATCAGAAATTCTAGAAAGGAACTATTTCCATTTGTGTGTATGTAATGTTTGCACTTAATGACTTGGTATGGTTATTGTTTTAAAGATCCTATTTTGGGGACACAGCCTTCTATTTTTTCTATCAACCACAGAAACACCGGTGGGAGGGAAGGAGAGAGAGGAGGAGGACAGGGATGAGGACAGGGATGAGGCCCACGGCTGGCCCGCAGGATGGAGAACGTCTGCTATCAGCCTCAGTGCTGCCATTTGCTTTAGAACCCACAGTCCCATTGCCCGGACAATGGAGCTGGGAATGGGAAACGGAGAGGAAGCGTGGGGCTGCCTTAGGGATGGAAAGACCTGTAGATGTAAAATGCTACTGTGCCTTCTCAACGGTTAACCAGATTTGATCCCAGCCACAGCCCGGGCCGGTGCACCAAGGAGTGTCATTTCACAGAGGGGTCAATCAGGTGGCCAGACCGAAGTCACACAGGAAGCGGAGGACAGAGCTGGACTTGTGTCCAGGAGGCTGTGGACAGGCCACTGCCAGAGCTGGGAACGGAGGCAGTGGCCGAACCGAGGCTGGGGTTCTCACTTCTCAGGGCCCCAGGGTGCAAGTGACATAAAGCAGGGATAGTCGGGGGTGGGACGTGCAAAGGGAGCTCAGAAGCATCAACACCCCGGAAACCTCTCTGCTCAGAAACAGGGACCGCTCCACAAACGCCTACCTTTGGGCATCGAGGTAGACACCTACCTTCACCTTCCATTTCATAAATGTCACAAAACTAAATAGGGGCTCATGGTGTCAGGAAGAAAGCCCAGTCCTTAGAGACCTTGGAGAACCAAGTTCCAGGGACACCTCTGCCCCGACCCCATGTGGGACTTCACCACCCGGATGACCTGGTTGGACCCCCAGCTCAGACGTTCTCTGAACAGGGCCACTGATATCTGCTAAAAAACTGTGGAACGGGCCACTGCATAATTGAGAAATGAAAACACCCTCGGCACCCACCACCCTGTGCAGCCCCTCAGTCCCTCTGAGAGACCATCTGTCCACAGGTGAGGTGGAGACCGTCTCACGAAGGGTGTGGAAGGAAGGTCCACCATGGGAGAAGCGCAGACACCTGGGCTCTGTCTTAATTTTTTATAAGTGTTCTAGCTGGACCTGGGTTCTGGTGGCTAACTGGCTGTGATACCTTGCCAACATGGGTTTTTCTCTCCAAGCCTCAGATTCTTCCCCCCTAGAGAGAGAATTCAGTCATTGGAAGTGTATGGTGAGCCTGTCATGTGCCACTGAGGCACAGAAATGGTAGCCCCTCAGGAGCTGAGTGCCCACGGGGCGACCGCCAGGCGAGAGACAAATTCTAACACAGCCTGGCAGTGCTCTGGCCGTGAATGAGGATACAGTGCCACGGGGCAGGGAGGGGCTGGCAGATGGAGTAGCTGATTGCCCTCACGGACCTGGGGGCCCAAGAGGAGGAGGTGGCTTCTGCACTGGGCCTTGGAGAATGAACAGGGATTTGCAGAGAGAAGACGGAGAGGCAGGGATGACCCCCCGTGCAGAGCAGTCTGTTCACGCTGGGGATGTGGAGCAGCTGGGCTGGTGGGGTGCAAGGGTTGAGCTACAGAGGGGTGGTGGTGGCCGTCAATATGGTGCCACAGTGGATTCAGAACCTGGTTGCAGAGTATCATAGATCTGACTGTACCTCCTGGCTTATCCGCTGTGTGACCTTGGGCAAGCTACTTAACCCCTCTGAGCTCCCAGATTCCAAATCAGTAACATGGGGATGAGAAAGGCACCTGCCTGGGGCAGAGACTGCTAATTACCATGTCCCCCTTCTTGCTTGGTAACAGAACACTAGTCGTATTTGGATGGGTATTAGGCTACCTTTCCCAGCTTCCCAGGCAGACAGGGTGCTCTGTCTTACAAAGAGCATAATTCTGGCCAACGAGATGAAAATAAAATTGTTGGATGAGATTTCTGGGACTCCTTAAACTCCTCAAAAGAGAGCATTCTCCTGCTTCCAGTTGGGAATATAGAAGAAATGCCTGGAGCTCTTGCAGCCATTTTGGCCATGAGGCAACTTTGAGGATGAATGCCATGTGCTAGGCATGGTGACAAATGCTCACGGTAACAGCAGTTAGGGGCTGGGATTCTGCAGTAATAGAGACCCGCGTTTGAATCTTGGCTGTGCCGTTATCCACCTCTGTGACCATGGACAAGCTACTTAACCGCTGCGTGCCTCAGTTTCCCCATCCATCGATCGAGTGAATATGATAATGGTACCTACCCATGGAGAGCATGCAAGTGTGCACCCAATATCCCCTCTCCCCTTCCTCTTTGGAAATAAGATGTGAATTTGGCATATTAAATTAAAGGTGCTGAATGTGTTCATTCTTAAGGATCCCAGGAGGAAGGCAAAGCGGGTGTCAGTCCCCTTTACAAAAGAGAAACCTGGGGCACAGAGAGGAGTGCAGAGATCATCCCACAAGTTAGCGGATGAGCGGGGACTCGATCCCAGATCCCACTGCCCCACCCCGAGGCCTTCCCACCGTCCTCCCACCCGCCTGGGTCTGCCTCCTACCTCCAGGTACTTGACGGGGATCTTGTGCTTGGTGGCGTGCGACTGTGCCAGGGGCTTCAACTCTGCCTCATGCTGCCCTTTCTTCTTAAGGATGCCACCCAGGGCAGTGAGCACAGTGGCGCCATGCTTCTTCAGCTCCTCAGATGCCTTCATCTCATCCTCTGACTTCAGGTGCTTGAACTTGTCAAACTTCTCCAGAGTTTCAGGGTGACCCTTAAAGAGGCTGTGGGCACAGAGAGGGCTGGAGTCAGACATGGGAGGCTCAGCGTGAGGTCAAGGGGCAGCCAGACTAGAGTTCAAGTTCAGCTCCCCGTCTTCCCAGCTGTGTGACCTTGGGCCATTCACTTCACCTCTCTGTGGTTCAGCTTCCTCATGCAAGGCACGGGGATAACTTGTCCCATAACTTAAAGGATTACGTGAGATGATGTGTGCTGTGTACCGACAGGTGCTGCCACACGGTGAGTGCCGTATAAATGCTTGCTATTGTGATTTTTACTGTCATCGTCATCTTCTTTACTATGAGGGGCAGGAAGGAAAAAGCATCTTGGCATTGCTCGCTGGCCTCACTCCAATTTTCCCCAAGTTGCCTAGAGAGGAAATGGCTGAGTGGCATTGTGAGTGGGCAAGGAGCACTGAAGCTGAAGGACCCTGGACTAGATGAGCACCTACTACGTGCCAGGTTCCATAATAGACTCAACTTGTGTTTTCCTTTTGAGTCATTCATATTATTCCCATTTTACAGATGTGGAAACAGAGGCTCCGAGGCACAAAGTCACCTACTCATTATTGCAGGGGTGCCGTCCAGAAAAGCCAGGCTGGAATCAGGTCTGAGTGACCAAAATAGCAGTTCTAGTCCACACTGCGACCATCTCTGCAGATTCCCGACTAGGGATTGTCCTTCAGCTGCTTAAATACCTCCAGCTACAGGAGGCTCACTCCTGCCTGTGAGGGCCACTCCACTCCAGAGCAATCCTCACACCCAGAAACCTCTTGCTTGTTTGGAGCGCAAGCTGTGACTCTCTGAACCTCCCAGTCCCCTCACTGTGCAGATGGCGAAGTGCCCTGGTGGGAGCAACCCGACCCAGCCCTTCCACAGACTGGCACCCGCTCCTGCCAGGCACGCAGTGAGGTGCCCCAGGGGCCTCTGCTGGGACTCTGAGCAGCCACCTCCAGCTCTAGACCTCATCCCTTTTCACTATGAGCAGGCGAGTGCTGGTCAAAGGGAGTCAGACCTGCCCCCTGGGTAGTGAGTTTCCCCTTTTTACCCACGGAAGACCACGGAGAGAAGTGGCTTGCCCAAGGTCACGTGGCTGGTCAGTGGCAGAGCCCAGACCCAAACACAAATGGGACAGTTTCCTATTCCCACCCTTTCCCTGTGCCACAGCCTGAAATGCTTGGCAGGGGCAACCTGTGTGCCCAGGGCTTCCTCTCCTGTCCGATGGTTTCAGTTCCTCGCAAAGCGCCTCTTTCATGGACTCCAGGTTCCACGGCATCCCTGTAGCAGTACACAGTGTGTACGTACTGTGGCCACACTTCAGCTCGCGCCCTGAGCCACCCTGCCCAGAAGTGGTCACAAGGAAGCACCTGATCCCCGCTGTCTCTATCCCAGGGTTTTATGAGGAGGATATTTTGTGACCAGGACGCTGAGCTCCTCAATCTGAGAATGAGCTCATGGGTTTTTTTGAGATGGAGTCTCTCTCTGTCGCTCAGGCTGGAGTGCAGTGGCAGGATCTCAGCTCACTGCAGCCTCCCTCTCTGGGTTTGAGCAGTTCTCCTGCCTCAGCCTCCCTAGTAGCTGGGACTACAGGCGTGCGCCACCACACCCGGCTAATTTTTGTATTTTCAGTAGAGACGGGGTTTCACCATGTTGGCCAGGCTCGTCTCAAACTCTTGACGTCAGATGATCCACCCACCTCGGCCTCCCAAAATGCTGGGATTACAGGCGTGAGCCACCACGCCCCGCCATGAGTTCATGTTTTTTAAGAGCCACCTCTGTCCAACAATCTCCTCTTCAGCTTGTGGTCAACTAAAGCCCCCAGCTCTTCTTCATGAGACCTGCCATAGCTTCTCGTCCTGTCATTGAGCAGTTGATGACCCGTACTCCTGAACTGCAGAATTTGCATTTCTCCTTCCTGTTTTCAGCCCCCCATTCCAGGCTCAGCAGCCTAGTTCGAACGTCACGATCAGAGATAGTTTCTGATTTTGAGTGAAAGCACTGAACTGACACGGAACACCTGCCAAGGGTGGGAGTATTTTCAGTGCTTTTCGTGTATTAACTCACTGGGTCCTCACAGCAACCCTGGGAGGTAGATACTGTTATGATCTCACTTAAAGGAAGAAGAAAGGAAGAGGGCACGCCTCTTTGCCAAGGTCACAGTCAGCAGAAGGAGAAGCAGGAAGCTCAACTGCTGTTCTCTGAAGGACAGAGCTTTGTGTTTTCCTTCCCTTGCGTTTTCCTTTCCTTCCTTATTTCTTCCTCAGGCACAGGACAAGCACGAGACACATGGTCCTTCCTTCCTTCTCCCCATGGCACAGGAGAGAGAAGGAAAAGTTGGAAGAGGTTTCAACATCCTGGCCCAGTGGGTTTGGGGCTGGGCTCACACCACGTCTGCATGTTTGTGTTAGGACACAGGATCTTGGAGCAGGTGAATTGCGGATGTTATTGACAGAACACATTCTTTATTAGGAATCCAGGATCCCGGGACTGGACGGACTTTGAGATCGGCAATTCCAGCCCCTTTCCAAACACACAATTATTTTATCACCCAAAGAAACACACTCTCAACACCATTCTCACATGCTTATTATTTGATCAATAATCAGATCTCCCATTTGGAAAAGGCCTACTAACTTGCTACATTCAACTTCAAATAGGAACACACGGGCACGCACAAATGCACACTGCGTTAAACAGAGGTGGCCGGGTGGGGTGGCTCACGCCTGTAATCCCAGCACTTTGGGAGGAGCAGGCGCGTCAGGAGTTTGAGACCAGAGTTGCCAACATGGTGAGACCCCGTCTCTACTAAAAATTCAAAAGAATTAGCCAGGCATGGTGGGTGGGGGGGGGGGCGCCTGTAATCCCAGCTACTCGAGAGGCTGAGGCAGGAGAATTGCTTGAACCCAGGAAGCGGAGATTGCTATGAGCCGAGATCGTGCCACTGGATTCCAGCCTGGGTGACAGGGAGACTCCATCTCAAAAAAACAAAAAACAAAGGTACTAGCAATACTAACTCATACCAATGTGACACTTACTTTACGTTCACAGTGCGGACATATGTTAACTCATTTTAAAAGCCTGATGGGGTATATGCCATTTTGCAGAGGAAGAAACAGAGGCACTGAAAGACCGACTAGCTGGGGATTTAACCCAGGCAGCCTGGCTTCACGTCTACCCTCTTGATGACTCTTCAGGCTTTGCTATTGTTACACAAAGATATTTACATGCAAACTAATACCTATATGGAAATGTATCAACACCTCACAAGTGTACGTGAGTGTGGGCTCTCACAGATGTGTGTGCACATTCACATGCGGGCCTGCACCGTCACACAGAAATACATGTAAATATCTCCCAGCACATGCCATACACACACACACACACACACACCCCCACAAGCCTGAACCACATACATTCACTTTCCCCATGCTGGGCATGGTCCACCACCCTGCCCAACTTTGCCACCTCACCCCAGGATCCTGTCCAAATCCTCGTGCGTCACAGACAGCTTGTCTCTGACACCTTTAGCCCAAGGATCCCTGAGCTCCTGACTATTATTATCTGGCGACAATGATCCTTGAACTCCAGCCTGACAGATGGAAGACCGGGCACGCACAGGTGATGGCCCGAGGTCAGGACACTGAATGGAGACTGTCTGGGACAGAACAGGGCCAAGGATTTGGGATGCAAGGCAGCTGGGGGTCTCCGACATGTTAGGGCCCGCTCCCCACCCCTCCGATATCTAGGGAAGAGAACAAAGAACGGACAGGTTTGGAAGCTTGAGTTCTGGTCCCAGTTCTGGCGCCAAGGTGCTCTGTGAGGTTGAAGTCACTCAGCCTCTCTGGATCTTGGCTCCTCCATATGTAAACCAAAAGGTAGGTCTAGATGATTCCTCCAAAAGACTCACCAATGCCTTACTTTCCACTCTCCACACCAGACAGCCAGGGAGAGAGTCCATGTTTACTTTATTAATATTTTTGGGGAGACAGGGTATTGCTCTGTTGCCCAGGCTGGAGTACAGTGGTGTGATCTTGGCTCACTGCAGCCTCGATCTCCTGGGCACGAGCCTCCTACCTCAGCCTCCCGAGTAGCCGGGACTACAGGCACACACCACCACGCCCGGCTAATTTTGTTTATTTTTTTGTAGAGAAGGGGTCTCACTATGTGTCCCAGGCTGGTCTTGAACTCCTGGACTCAAGCGATCCTCCCACTCTGCTTCCCAAAGTACTGAGATTACAGGCCAAGGCACTACACGCTGCCCCATGTTTAAACAGCAGAGGAGAATTGGGCTGTGCCGCCAGATTATTCCAGCACACACAGCTGCCTGCCTCCCGTGGACCCAGGCCTTGCAGCTAGGAGTGCCCCCTACAGGCAGCCACAGAAGGCCCTTCTCCTGGATTATTTGCCAGATAACAGCCACCCAGAAAACGAGCAGATGGAAGCCCCTCACCCTGTGGAAACGGAGAGAGGGCTTTTCCTCTAGTATTTCAGAAAGCCCCGTTTGCCTGTGTATCCAGCTTCAACCCTGCTGTCAGTGAGCTTGGTTCATCAGACACATCTTCAGGCCAAGTCAGAGAGAAGGGAGGTCATTTTCCTGCTGTTCTCTGAACTGAGGCCCAAGCAGACACCCACATGAAACATGGAACACATGCTCAGATCCATGAAAACCACCCCTGGCTCTGCTAGAGCAAAAAAACCAGACTGCGCATGGCAGCCCGTCTTGAGTGTGGCAAGGTCATGGGCAGAATAGCATAGCGGTCAAGAGCAAGGCTTCTGAGCCTGGTGCGTTGGCTCACGCCCGTAATCCCAGCACATTGGGAGGCCAAGGCGGGCGGATCACCTGAGGTCAGGAATTAGAGACCAGCCTGGCCAACATGGCAAAACCCAGTCTGCGCTAAAAATACAAAAATTAGCCGGGCATGGTGGTGCACACCTGTAATCCCAGCAAGACTCGGTCTCAAAAAGCAATGAGCAAGGACTCTGGATCCAAGCTGCTTGAATTTGAATTCCAGTTCCTCTCTCTATTTTTTTTCTTTTTTTTCTGAGATGGAGTTTTGTTCTTGTTGCCCAGGCTGGAGTACAATGGGACCATCTCGGCTCACTGCAACCTCCGCCTCCCAGGTTCAAGCGATTCTCCTGCCTCAGCCTCCCGAGTAGCTGGGATTACAGGCATGTACCACCACACCCAGCTAATTTTGTATTTTTTTTAGTAGAGACGGGGTTTCTCCATGTTGGTCAGGCTGGTCTTGAACTCCCGACCTCAGATGATCCACCCGCGTCAGCCTCCCAAAGTGCTGGGATTACAGGGGTGAGCCACTGCGCCCAGTCTTCAGCTCCTCTCTTACTTGCTGAGTGGCTTTAGATAAGTTTCTTAACCTCTCTGTTAAATGTGGTGATCATAATAACATCTACCTCATAAGGTTGTTGTCAGGCTTCAATGAGTGAAAGAAACACGTCGGACATAGCCCAGCAATCAGTATGTACTGAATAAATGGTTGCTGTCTTTCTCCTCCTCCGCATCTCTACCGTCATCATCATCACCATCACCCAGGAGTTTTCACTCCTGCCTGTGGCTGTCATTAACCGGTGGAGACTCTCAGGCCCAGTTCCGCCCTGTAGTGAGCAGTGACCATCAGCGGTGATTTTCAAACATGTTATGGCCTTGAAATCCTTTGCTCCAAAACACAATGCCAAAGTAAATAAAACAAAAAAGGTTTGAGTAAAGGAAGGAAAAAGGGGAGTGTGGAGCCCACGCCGGAGCCCCCTCTCTTCTGAAGCCCCCACGCCTGGAGCCAGAATCTTCAAGTGACCTTCCAGCTTCTGTGTTCTAGAACTTTATGTTCAGGTACTTGCAGCAAAGCCCTCCGTGGTTTACAGACTGGGCTTAACGGAATTTGCCCTCTTTTACAATCAGAAGACTGGAGACATAACCTTTCAAGGTCAGGAAGAAAGCCGAGTCAGTATCCAGAGCAGAGCCAAGATGCCAACTCCTACGGGGGTCATTTGCAGCTCTGGGCTTGAGCCCTCTCCACCCTGCCCCCCGGGAGGCCATCCTTCCTGTTCCCAAAACACTGAGAAGGCAGAACCAGCTGGCGCGGTCTCTGCATGCCCCACAGCATAAGACGTGACAGGGCACCAGGCCTCTGGGACCTTCCAGGGGCCAGCAGTTCTAGGCATCATGTCTGATCCCTGGCCCCTGGCCCCTGGCAAGCCTCCCTGAATCTCCCTGATGACGCAACACCCTGAGTCTTCTTCAAGATGTCCAAGTCACTGCCTTAGGAATGGCAGCTCCCAAATCACCTTGGAAAGACCTCTGCTCTGCAAACTCTGGTCTCCTACCTCCATGCCCGACTGTCCTGTCTCCTCTCCAAAAGCAAAGGAGGATCGTGGACTCATAGAATTCCAGGGCATGACAGTGGGATGAGATCTCAGAGACCATGGAAGACAATCCCTTCACTCAACCAACAAAGAAAGAAGACCCAGAGACGGAGAGACTTGTCCAAGGTCACACGGCAAATCGGTGGCCCAGGAGTCAATGTCAATGTGTGTGTGTGTTTGTGTGTGTGTTGGTGGGGGGAGCATTTTGTGCAATCCAACAGGACCTGTTACAGCCTGCTGACAGGAACAGAAGAAAGACATAATGAACACACCACAATGCCATTAGAGTCAACAGAAAACTTAACCGTCCTTCCTCAAGTGCTTCTAGCAAGGACACTAAGGGCTCAAATTTTAGATAATGGAGCTTCCAGGACCAGGCAGGCTCCCGAGGCAGACAGAGGCTGCAAATGGGGAAAGCCCAAAAGAGACCCAAAGGAAAACTGAGTGGAAGAGGAAAACAGGCGCCGGCTCACCAATAAGGAGAAACGAATCTGCAAATTAAAGCACCAAAGACAATCCGATCACTTACGGCAAACCTGGAGCCCACTTCCTCCCAGGGGCAGAAATGTTGATTCATAACCCATCAGACTTTTGACGGAACCAGCCCAGAACATGAGGGAAGGGACCCAGAGAAGAAAAGAGCGTAGCACCATTTGGGATGGAAGGCAACGGGAAGATGAGAGTCTGCGTACAAACCGCAGCCACCCTCTATTCACAGAACTCAGATTTTTGTTTTCGTGGGTGTATTCCGAAATCCCCTGCAGTAAAAGGCATGATATACTTGGAGACCACACCATTCCGAGCTCTCAGACTGGAGACATATCCAACGCCAAAGGCCACTAATGAGCCTCTATCTTCTGTTCTCTAATTGCAATGCTTTGAAAGGTCCCTAGTCTGGCCTTCATCTGTAATAGCTGCTAACATTTCTAGCACTCGGTATATGCCAGGAACTACGCCAGGTGTCTTGCACGCATCATCTTATTTCATTGTCACTTCTCCTCTAGGACGTAGACACCAGGCTATCCCCCTCATGGTACAGGACAGGACATCGAGGCTCCGAGAGGTTCAGGACCTCCCAAAGGCCACCCAGCTGCTCAGTGGCAGAGTCCAACCTAGAACCAGATGTGTCTCCCTGTGAAGGCCATCTCTTAGACATGACACTTTAACGGCATTTCACAGGCTGTGACTCTGAAAATGTCCTCCCCTTCTCAGTCCCTTTTTGTCCCCATCCTGTAAGACAGGTAGCTGGACACAATCTCTCAGAGCCCTTGTTAACTCTGACTGTCTATAATTCTGAAATTCTTCCTGGTGGACTCTGAGCATCCAAGGTTTCATTCCCAAGCTTCCTCCAGCTGCTGACCTCAACCTGAAATGGATCCCTTTCCCTCTCCCGAGTCCAATCCCTGACACTTTAAAGTGAAGAAAAAGCAAGTGAGGGTGTTAACACCCTCAACTAATGCAGCCAACGGGTCTACGGGTACACACTTTCCACCCTTGATCTTAGGGTGTGGGTGGCAGGGGCGGTGGAATCTCTTCCTTTTACCTGATGAGGACCTCCTGCCCATGGCTTGGGATGTCAGCCTCCACCTTCCCCCAGACGTTCAGCACCAACTGCCATTCCCCGTCGCTGAGCCCCATGGCGCAGTCTGAAGAAGACAGAAAGAGCAGATATGGGCTCACTGGGTGTCCTGGCCCCAACAGCTGGGGTTTGAGGCCGCCTGGCCCCAAGGGCGTTTTTATACCTTCCGGGGTGCTTGACAAAGATCACTCGATGGCTCGCTCTTCCCCTCCCCTGCCCTCCTTCTCTTTCTCTCTCTCTCTCTCTCATTCAGGGAGGGGTCTAATCTTTTCCTTTCTCTAGCCCTCACATGGGAAGCTATTTTGGGGCGGGTGCCATTGTGGCGAGGCAGGACAGCTCAGGCCACAGGGGGGTGGGGTGGTTGTGTGTGTTGAAAGAAGGGGAGGAGGTTGGGCACCATCTGGACTCTCAGAACAGACAGAAAGGGCACCACTGAGGCCGATGCCAGCAGCCTGAAACCCAACGCTCCCTGCGGTCAGCCCTCCCAAGAGGACCTGTCATGTTTCTAAGCTTGAGCACCAGGCACCCCGGCTGGCCCCAGGACCGTCCTGGCCCTTCACAGCTTCCCACGCACTGTCTGCTCCTTTGCCAGAGACCCCTCACCCCGCCAGAAGTGACAGAAAGGAACTAGATGCTTTTGTGCTTATAGCCAGGTGGTCCTGGGCAAGTCCACCATCTCTTAAAGAATTCCTGGCTTCATGATCCTGCCCAAAGTTTTCCATCTGAAAAGGTTTTCTTGCCTACTCCTTTGAGACACAACTAATTGCTTCCTCCTTTCCTTTCTTTGTGTGGGTTCCTGTTGCATTGCTTCCCAAGAGGAGTCCTATTTCCTGGTTTTCTTGCCAGCTTCTCATTAGGATAACAGCAGCCAGCACTCACGGAGACTTTGCTGGGTGCCAGGCCCTGTCCCAAACACTTAGCATTTGGTAACTCATTTACCAATGGCACCCACCCCAAAATAGCTTCCCATGTGAGGGCTAGAGAAAGGAAAAGATTAGACCCCACCCTGGATGAGAGAGAGAGAGAGAAAGAGAAGGAGGGCAGGGGAGGGGAAGAGCGAGCCATCGAGTGATCTTTGTCAAGACCTCCCTATGTGATAGGTACTGACACTATCTCCATTAATTGAGAGGAAGTAGGGAAACATCACAGATGCACAGCTAGTTGCTGGCAGAGCTGGGATTTGAACCCTGGAAGCCAGCCTCCCTTATTGTATTTCAGCAGCTCCATTTTCTTCATCCCTGTAGCTCGTGGGCCTCACATAGTACTCTGTGCCAAGTTTGAACTGAATAAATGTTTGTTGAGTAAACAGGTGGATGGTCTTGCACAGAAAGTGAGTGGAAGATGATTAGCCTTATCTTCCATCCATCCTTCCTTCCATCCGTCCACTTATTCATCCATCTATCCATTCATCCATTCATCCATCCAGCATCTTTGTCAATCCATCCATTCACTCATCTATCCATCCACCCACCCATTCATCACCACCAATCCCTCCATCTACCCATGTGTTCCTCCATCCATCCATCCATGCACCCATCCATCCTCCACCCATCCACCCATCAGCTCATCCGTCCACCCATCCTCTCATTCATTCATTCATTAACCCTCTCTCCTTCCATCTATCCGTCATCCACCAATCCCTCCACCTATCCATCTATCTGTTCATCCATCCATCCATCAACTCATTCATCCACCCATCCTCCCTCCATCCATCCATCCACCCCTCCCCTCATCCATCCATTTATTATCCCTCCATTCATCGTCCCCCCCATCCATCTATCCATCCATCATCTGCCCATCTCTCCATCTATCCATATATCTGTTCCTCCATCTCTCACTCCATCCATCCCTCCATCCATCCATCCACCCAACCCCTCATTCATCCACTCATTAACCCTCCATTCATCAACCCTCCCTTCATTCATCTATCTATTCATTTATCCATTCATAATTCACCTATCCCTCCATCTATCCATCTGTTCATCCATCCATCCATCCACTCATCTCACAGACAGTGATAGACCACGTACTGTGTGTCAGACACTGCTGCATGCTGAGGACAACAAAATCAAATAAACAGATTCCTGTGTCCAAGAAACTCAGAGGCTCTTTAGGGAGGTAACTACGAGGAATGAAAATACAGTACAGTTTATTGAGTGCTATGTTCAAGGAAGTCACAGGCCCTTCCTTCCGTCTGCACAGGACTTTACAAAGTACCTCCCTGGCAAGATGATATCTAGTTTTTACAACACCTCTAGGAGGTTGCGAGCACCACACCACTTTATATCTGTGGGAGGCGAGATTCAGAAGCGAGAAGCCAGTGTTTGGTCCGTCCTGGGTCTGCGCTGGATGTGTGAGTAACGACTACCCCACCTACACAGCTTTTTAAAGATAACTGCCCTGCCCCAGCCCTGCTGAGGTGCAGGTGTAGCCAGTCAAGTTCTGGGGCACTCGATTCTCCCCCAGACCTGCTGCCAGTCACAGCCAAGCTGAGAGAGCCGATGTCAGGGACCACTGATTTCCCGAAAAGTCAACGTCTCCTAGCTCTGCCAGTCAGATCCCGTCTTCATAAGGTGAACAGGGATGTCTAGTAAGAATCGGACAGGTAGGAAATGTAGCTAGAAAAAGAGTCAGATTCGAAGAATCCCCGAACTTAGAGCTCTCCAGTAAAACTCCGTCAGAACGCCCTCTGTGCGAGTCTCTGAAGCCTGGCCCGTGACAGTTCTCGGATCGCCATAAGCCTCCACTCCCTGTAGGAGCCCTGTGTCTCTTTTCAATGAGTCCTGTGTACTGAGGCAGCTGACTCCTAACAACCAAAAGGGTCTGAGGCACTGGCTGCACATCTGCTGTCCCCTTCCCTGGTGACCATTCCAGAAGTCAACCCCGAATGCTAGGCCAGCTGACCCCCGAGGGCCCATCTCTTTAGCAGTGGAAGAAGCAGTAACAAAATGAGTAGCTAAAAATGCCATGGAGGTGTCAAAGGGGCTCTCATTCATTCATTCAGCCATTCATCTGTTTGTTCCTTTGTTCATTCATTCATGCAACAGCCGAGTACTGAGGCCCAGTCTGCCAGGCCCAGCCTCAGAAGGAAAGGCAACTTTGAGAGTGCCTACCCCGGTCTCAGACCCTCGGAAGCTTTGACTCTTACCGCTGGTTACTCGCTGGGGGTGAGCCCAGGATGTGAGCAGGGAGGGCAGAAAGAAGGTGATGGCACTGAGCTGTGCCACGCCTGACCCAGGGCCACCTGCCCTGTGCGCTGGGGAAGGCTGGAGGGGACACATTCGAGACTCCCGGGGATTGAGATGCGGGGTGCGGTTTTCAAACGCCCCGTGCCCTCCTGGGAGTCTCAGAGCACCCCGAATGACTACTCAAATCCCAGCTCTTCTCCTATCTCTGGCCTCCTGAGTTGTCTGAGGACAGCCTGAGCGTTTAAAATCTCATCAACCCGTTACCGATGCTGAAGTGTTTAATACGAAGCTATCATCCGCTTGGCAGGCGCTCCCATGAACCGGCGTGCCCACGGAAACCTGTAGCTTTGAAGTCGATGGAACTTTTAAGTTTTACCATTTAAGCTAATGGGAAGGCACCGACATCTGTTTGTACTTACGCATCTCCACAACAGAGCAGCGTTACCTCACAGTTGCCATGGCTACCCGGACCATCAGCTCTGTTTGGGGTCTATTATTATCCCCGGGGCAGAGAAGCTGCAGACGCGTTACAGGAAAACCAGGCTGCCTTCGTGTGCAAAACTTTCTGCAGCCTTACACACTCATGCTACACACACGCGTGCACACGCACAAGCACACACATGCAGGGCACGTTAGGCTGACACCCAATGGGGAAAACTGGATCCCACCAAGTCAGGCCTCCTCTTTTTTCCTTTCCTATCACAGAATCCTTTGAATCCAAAACTGAGGCTCGCAGAATCATCCTCTGTGCTCCCAGTTCTGGAGGCTCGAGATCCCAGAATTAAAATTCTAGAGTGTCAAAATCTTCAACTTTTCACCACCTGAGAAATGGGGGCTCTAGATTCTAGACTCAGAGAGAGCGAGAGGCAGAGAAGTCTAGAATTATAGGGCTGTAGCATCCTGTCGCTAAAAGAGGCCTTCCACAGTATTTTGTCCAATTTCCCACTGAATGTAGTTTTCCCTGCAGATAATCGTCTGGCATCTGCTTGAATACTCCTGGGAGTGGTGAGCTCACTACCTAAAGCTTTAAAAATTCTTTTTCGTGTCGAACCAAAAGATGCCTCCATGCCACAGTCACTCCCTCGTGGTGGCTCCGCTGGCTCCTTGAGAATAGAGAGGCCCAGGCGAGTCCGTCTCACAAGAGAAGCAGCAGGCCCATCTAAGACCTTTCTTGTCCAGACTGAACATCCCAGGACTTTCACTGAGCACCCTCCCCAGGCAAGGTGAGGCGGGGGCCTCCAGCTGGAGGAGAAAGACAGGCTCTGCGATCTTCAGTCTCCAGCCACTCACCTCTAGTCACATGCACACAAAGAGAACGCTGTAGCAAGGGGTGTCCAGCACCCACCTGCGCAGGTCTCAGCCCCCCAGGCAGCTGTGCACGTGGCTCCCCTATTTTTATGGCCAGAAAACCCAATCTAGGTGAGCTGGGAATTTGCTAGCCCTTGGACAGCTGACAATTCCCTTCGGTCAATCTGGGATTAAGACTCCACCGGGGAGAGCTAAGATGTGACAAGGAGAACTCTGGCTCCTCAAAGCCGGGAGTCCCCGCGGTCTCCCCCACTCCCTTCCTCCTCCTTTTGGGAACAGGCCTTTGCAGGCCAGGCTGGGCAGCGCCTCCCTCCTGCCAGCAGGCCCTCCCCCCGCCCACCCGCAGCTTAGCTTGTGCTCCTGGCAGAAGCTCCCTCCTGGACCAGCGCCAGGCCAGGACTCAGAGCAGAGCTGGGGCCTGAGGGTTGTAGGGCCTGCTCAAGGCCCTTGACGGGCCAGCAGGACCCCCAAGCTTGCTCCAGACCCCAGAACGCGCCCCCCAGGCTGCTCCTCTCCAGCCCCTTAGCACCATCATACTGACCACAGCTTCCCTTCTCCCCAGCTGTCCTCACAGAGCCTCCAGCCAAGCGGCCAGGGCTGGGGGTGGGGAGAGGTGTCTTATAGCAGCCGGGGAGAGGCACAGGGAACTAAAAATACAGTTTACATGACAAGGCTCCTCCTCTCCCTGCAGGCCCAGAGGGGCTTATTGGAGAAGGGCTGGCAAGAACACAGTACCCTAATCCCCCAGTCAACAGGTGTGGCCCGGGACATTGGCCTGCCTCGTCCCTTCACCCTGCCCAGCCTCGGAGGCTCAGAGTGGCTCCTCCAGCCCCACCATCCACCTGTCATCTGGACAGAGCCCAGTCCCACCTCCACAGCCACCCAGCCCCACACACACCCG